AATGAGAAACCAGTAATATTTTTGGAAAGACAGTAACGTTTGATGAGAATTCACTGACATTCGAAATTTATTACTGTTCCTGGTCAAATGTCATATATTTTCCAGTTGGTAAGGGTTAGCAGAATCATGGTTCATTGCGCACACAGTTATAACAGGTTCCTAGCAGACTTGTGTATTTTCTTCTTTGGCCTTGGTCTTTATATATATATATATATATATATGCTGGAAAGACTTTCTCGAAAGTTTGAACAATACTATATTTAACCAGTTATGGAAATGAATATGTTGTTGATTCTTGCATTCACGAATATTCTACAACTTGGAGAATTGACAGGAGTTTCGCCATACGTAACTAACACAGTAAGCTAGGCACGTTCTTACATATAAACTTAATACAAACAAACGTTGTCATTAAAATAAATATACAACAAGTTCGTTACAAGCAATACATACCTGATGCTAAAAACTACACATATTTGTAAATACAAATTTAATCTAAATAATGTTCATATTAAAAATAAATAAATAACAATAAATTTGTTACAATATGTACATAGGTGGAATTCCTTGGTATCATTCTGGAAAGAGATAAAAAGTATATACCAATCCTGCAAAGACTGCAGTGGCCAGGGAATGACCCCAACAAAAAGATTAAACAAGAGAACTCCAGTTTTCTATGTTTCAACTTATATTACTGGTTCTGAGTAAAGCTGAAATGCATTTCAGATGGACTGAAGATTGCAACTATGTATTTCAGTCACTAAATTGAGCTTTAGTACAATTTCCATTCTTAGCATACCCAAGATAAAGTTGTCCACTCTTGCTGGATATTGATGGGAGTGAAAGTGGAATTGGAGCAGTATTGCCATATATACAGAATGGAGTAGAACATGTAATTGGCCAGAATTTAAAGTGGTTGGTTGAGTGACAGATTAACAGCTAAAAGGATGTGGTGTTTCTTACCATTCAAGCAATCAAGTGGTGTTTCACAATAGGATGTAGCTCAACATCTTGTAATAACCATATGAATAGGACTGAAATGATGTTGCAGCCTTTAATTTCCAAACAATAAAGCAGTTTCAATGAGAATCTATAGCTACTCAATTATTATACAGTTAAAACATCTATGTTAGTAGATGTAATAGCATTCCAATTGTACATTATGATAACAAGTGCCATGATATTGCATTGAAGACTGGTATATGCATATATCATAGAATCTTTCTACTCTATAAATACAAACAATCTGCTTATAACACAAGATATGAATAACATACTTAAATAAGACTTAGTGGTTTTAATCTTTACATTTTTGGCTAATATTTTACATCCAAATCTCAGCTCAGTGATAACCTTTCTCTACTAATCATAAAAAAAACCAAAAAACTACCAGTTAAGAATTATGAGTATAAGATACTTCTAGCTGCAAAAATAAGATGAAAACAATATGATTCACTCAAAAGACAACTGTAACTAACTGCCAAATGAAATAGAACAATACAAACCATTCTGTATAAGAACACTACAATTTACTTAGTGCCAGCTGAAAAATACAATTCACTTTGCGTCAGCTGAACAATACAACTCATCATGCATGGAAGGTAAACAATACAACTCATACAGTGCAAAGACAAGAATAAGTTTTTCACTCCCAACAGAACAGTACAATTCACTCAGTACCAGCAGAACAAAATAACATACTTAGAGCAGTGATAGAAATGGGGATTTAGTTTTCAGTTTGTATTTTTTCCCCATTGGTTAAGGTTAGTATCACTGAAGATGTTAATAATCCTACCATCACGGGTCAAAGGCCATGTCATCACGTTTATTGACTTACATTCAAAATTTTATTGAACTGCTATTTTATGAATTTATGTCAATAAGTCTGGTAGGAAACTTTAGACTATAATTCAAATTTCAGTATTATACATTAGTTACTTTCTTAATTTAAAAGTAATTATTATAACAACACACTAAATATCAATTTTTGTGTGTCACATGGTATGTTGAATGCAGCATTGGTTCAAATTAGATGTGTGTGATGTCCAAATACAAAGTTTATAGTTTCTGATGAATTAGGAACTCAAATTACCGATATTGACAAGCTAGAACATAAAATAAGAACCTCCTATCTTTTCTACTTGCTTTTTTATATCTATCACCTCACTGCTCCTTCTAAACATGTACCTAGTTCCTAAAACCCTTTTTCTTTCCTGACTTTGGGTGCTGAGAAAATTATACTTTCTGTTGTCACTAAGTATGATATATTGTTCTGTTTGTGCTGAATGAGTTGCACTGTTCTTTTGGCACTCAGAACAATATAACATACTTAGTGCCAACATAAACTACAATTTTCTTAGCACCAACAGAACAATATAACACACTTAGTGCCAACAGAACAGTACAATTCACAGAGTGCAAAGAAGAGTATTGACCATATGTGCATGGGTGGGGTCAAAATGTGCATGACACAACTTTTACAGTTACATTAAAAATGTAATTAAACTACTTTATTAACAATGTACCTCAATAAATCTGGCATCAAAACATAGCTTATAATTAAAATTTTAATATTATATAACTTTTGATTTCTTAATTTAACATAAGGAAGTATCTAAATATATTCTCAATCATCACTTTTCTGTATCACCCAGAACTTAATTCATGTCCTGTGGGTGGAATTTTACATGAACTATCATCACTATTGGCCAGGCGGCCCCAACCAGATAGCCGAGGTTCTACTGCTTGGGGTTGGAATTATAAGGCCATGTTGGTGGCTAGGGCAATTGGACCACAATATAATTATATACATTTGTGAGTGGATCCCAACCTGTAGCCATAGAGTGATGCATTCCAAGCCACTGGAATCACAATAAGAAGGTAATTAATACCAAAGTGGAAAACCTTCTCCTTCTCAGGATCCTGTATACCATACTCAACCTCAGGAAACAGAACTCATCCATCTTTACTCCCCAATTGCATGGGCAAGGTAAATTCTTCTTGTCTTTGGAATTATGGGGAGGATGTGGAACAAATTATGCTCAACCAATGACCCAGGATGGGACCACTCTACATTCGGAATTACAAGGAGACAACGAACCCTCTTCCACGAACAATGTACAGAAGCAATAGTGATCAAAAAAGGGTCATGCTCAACCCAACTGGATAGCCTAGTGTCAAATCTGAACTGGTATTACGAGTAGGTTCCCGTGTAGGCTGGTGCCTCTTCTACTGGTATCTGGGAAAAAACATCCAGGGACTTGGGTAGGAGGGCCCCAACTCTGCCCTCATTTCTTAATTCACTCAAACACTCTGGAGGAAGAACCTCTGTCCACCACCCCAGTGACTGGAAACTGGGGGTAATGTGCATTGGGGAGCCCTGGGGGAACAATGCTCTGGAAACAGTGCAATAGGTAAACCAACCCCAATTTATTCAATCCATTGATTGGCAGGGACAGACAGTCCACAAGTGGTGGTCCAGCATAGTACAGTAATACCACCTGGTAAGCCTTATTTCTACAGAGTCTGTTGCAATCTAGATAAAGTACATTGAATTAGAGGTTACTAGTGCAGAATTGGTTTGACAAAAGCATGCCTGCTTGGGCAACACTCGCCACAGAGTAGGATCCTGTAAAAAATGAGGCAAGGGACCCTGAAAGGTAAAGAAGAGACAAAAATATCAATCAAAATGCTCATCACTCTGTATAATTTAGTGGATATGGTTAAGATAGCTACAGGGGTTAGTCAAAAGTCCTCAGATGAAGATACTGCCAGATTATGCAAATAATGTGAGATAAAAGTACTGGGGGAGGTCCACATACCAGCCAACACAATGTCCTCCAGTGGGCAATTCAACCAGGTTGCTAAAGTCATAGAAATGTGACGATTCTGGTGAGAAGTGACTCACAGAAGTCTCCTCAACTTTAAAGAGAGTGCAGAATAAGCAATATGAATCTATTTTGTACACACCTTTTCAATGTAACTGGGGATAAATCTTAGGAAACTGAATGATCCCAATGAATAAAGTCATTAGTGTGGGCAACAAAACCTTCAAGACCCTCAATGATCATAACAAATGATCAAGATCTTATCAGTCACAGAAGAGGGAAATAGTGATGAGATGAATTAGCAAAAAAGATTTATCCCCTTCCCTGGCTTCCAGTGTCTTAGGGAAGAACTGGTCTAAGCACATAGATAGAATGATAAAGTGTCCTGTGGACAATCAGTGCAAACCACTCTGACTGGTGACATCTGTAGGTCAGCAGCAATGAAAAATAAACCTTCAGGGAAAGGTGATTCATGGCATATGAGGCTAAGATATCAAAAAGGTGTTGAGAAAAGGTATGTTATGCCACCATAATATAATAGTTAGTTAACTGAAATTATCACCTGGGATGAAGGCCCCAAAATGATGCGAGGAAACTGGAGAGTACTGGGGACTCAAAGAATTTTTGTATTGAGTATCGAAAGGTAATAGAGAAGGCTACCTCATACAGCGTAACTGTGAAAGATGCAAAACCCTTGTCAAAGAGCCAGTTCAAAAAATGACTTATGGTTGGCACTTCTGGATGAAGTGGGTTCAACCTCCTCTCAAAACACTATCCCTAATATATAGTGCCATTTTTGTTGATAAATGTCCATGGTGAGACTCGCAAAGACAAAGATAGATACATGGAAACCTTAGAAATTATACCCCAACACCATGCGAAGGATTGCATAACCTCCATGGCTGAAGTTTGAGCTTTTGGATAGCCAGGTGTACAATGTCAGATCATGGCTGCCTCCACAGAGATGGCCAAAAGAGGAAGTGGAAGAGATGGGCACTCATGAAGTTACCTTAGAAGCAGAATCCAGGGTTTAGTTGCCAATCCAGTGCTATCAACAGGACCCAACAATGAGTTGGAACATATTATAGCTAGAACTTTGGGTAACAAAAATTGGTAGGAAGACCTGGAGTTGTAATCCTGTCCTATCCTGACAGAATGCATCTATTGCCAAAACCTGAAGGTGAGGTACTGGAGACCAAACTGCCAGTAGTTGAGTATTCCAATGAGTGGCCATCCCACCAATCATAAGTATTTCCAAAATGAGAGCCAATCCAACAGAAAAAGCTAACAATGCAATCTGTGGGTCGAGACAACTAATCTACCACTGAAGTCATTACCCATGGAGTTTGGCAAGCTAGTTGGGTGATATGATAGGAGTGATCCCTAGAAAGAAGATCCAAGGTTCGAAAACAAAGAGCCCTGAGCCAAGTGTCCCCTTGACAAAAAGGACAAGACACTGCTTTGGAATTGTCGGAGTGAAGCCTGATGATTTTCCCCTTATTAAGCCAAGACCATGTGACAATGCCTTTTGAATAGTATGCTAACAATGGTCCCAACTCACCATCAATGGATGTGGTGATCCTGAGAGTCTTCCAACAAAGTTTAGAGTGATAATAAATAACTCAACACCGTATATAGGGTGAGGAGAATCCTAAAAAGTTGTGATCTATTCAGGTTAACTCTGCTTTAGAACACCAAATTTCCAGGAGCAGATGTATTCCTTGAGAGTTGGAATATGCTTCCACCTGGTGGTGGTAGGCTAAATCACGTAGTTCCGAAAACCATGGCAGACAAGGCATAGCTGTCCCTTCACATATTTGAGTATTAAACCTCACTGCATGGACCACAATATCAGTGACTGGAGGGAGAACTATGTATTCATTACCAGACCTTTCACCCATCAAGCAAGGTGCACGTTCAAAAGCAACTGGGGAAAGAGCCAAAACATAACACACTCGATAGACCCACTGAAGAATAGGAGCCTGAGGCAGCTTATCCCAAAGTGGCCACCTGAGAAGCCAACAGAATAAAGGAAGGCACAGGAAAAAGTGAATCTAAGTTCTCTACAGAATGTCCAGGTTCACCATCAAGTGCAGCCTCAGAGCCCACTAGAGGAACACCATTGAAATGAGTATATGTTTCCATCTCACTACAAATAGGATCACTAACAGTGCAAAACAACTGTCTTGTTCTGGAAGACAAGAAGAAAGAGGGTGATAACTAATCAAGTTTACATCCTTGAGGCCTTGACACTCACCAGGGATACACACAGAAATGGCCAAAACATGTGGGTTGATATAGACCAATAATGAAGCTACAAAACTTACCAAACTCCAGGGTAAAACTACTGAAATAAAGCTTAAAAAAGAAGAAGGATATTTATAAGATCTAGAAGCATTATTAGAATTATGTAAAAGTGAAGTATTGCCTTCTGAAATAAAATTAACTACACAATTCCTGATGAAAAACATTGCACACAATGTGAATAGCAGAGCTTATATAAGATCTGCTGTTGCATGCACAATAAGTCATGCCGAAAGTGGGAGAGTGCAGAGTTATGAGTGAGTGTTGCTTGTTCTGAAATGTGTAAAGGACATTCAGAATTTTGAGTCACACGTTTGTTGACAGCATAAGAGCAAACTCAACAAGGAAAGGTCTACAATATTTTAGAGGAAAGACTACTTGACTCGAATAAAAATTTAAATTATTCCTCATTTCAAACAATGGGTAGAGAATAATATTACCAACAGATACAACCATAAGCAACTATTCTAAAAAGAAACATTAAATACTTACGTAATTTCTAGTTCAGGTCCAGATCTGTATGCTGCGCCTCTTGCTTTGGCTTCTTTAATACCTAAGTAAATTTTAACTTTAAATTAATATCAAATTCTTAAATGCAGGCACACAGATATATATATATATACACATGATCATTTCTCAAGGAACATATTACATCCATTTCTAAATATAAAAGGGTTGGACATGACATGTTCTTCAACAAATTATCCAAATATATTTTCATGAAAATCTTATGAAGAAAGTGATTAGAGGAATGAGTATTATGTTACCAACCGTCTAATATCATGTATAATATGAGAAGAGAAACATCTTATCAAATACAACTATACTAAACAGAAATTGGTCAGCAAGAAGTAGTATCATAATAACATCAAACACATTAAGTTATGATATAACTCAAGGAATGCTGAGAAAATAGTTAACCTTATAAAGAAAGTAACTAGACAGTAATGGAATGTAAGATGATAACAATTGTTTATCAAAAGGCTAGACTTTCAGTTGGGGATTATCATAACTAGCTATAACAGGCTGTCTCATCTCAGTAATTAAAAATACTTAATCCAGCAAACCATCAGAATGTTTACAACTAGTGAAATATAGAGTCAAAAAATATGTGAGAATGAGTACCACATATTCTGAGAGGAGTTTGTTTGAAAGGAAATCAGCATATAATTGAAAAAAAAAAAACTATAGCTCTCAAGGTAGAATATTGATGCCAGCTTAGCACATGCAAAGTCAAGGGTCATCCAGGACTGGATGAGCCCAGGACATTTAGCTACATGCCCATGGATGAACAGAAAACTTGAAATTAACTGACCCTGAGTTATTTCATGCTGAGTGCAAAATTTTTTGCATTGAGTGCATAATCACACTCACTAGTTCTAGTTCTGGAACATTTAAAAACAATCTTTATAAAAGTTGGCCTGAAGTGATAACGAACCAGTCTTCTTTGAGGCTTCCTTCAATCAGTCTGTTCTCAAGTATTTGCAGTCCAGTCCTACAACCATGGAGAATTCTTCATATTTCACTTCTATGCAAGTAAATTTGTGTTCTTGACTAATACCTAGAGACTTAGGTTTGTAAATGTAGAAATGTGTGTATTGAGACCAGGATTAATTTGATAGAAGTATTAATAAAAATACCTTAAATACTACTAGACATATTGGAGAGTCTAACTAAAGGCAATTTATTTTTTTTGTAATTATCTAACGATGCAATGTTACTGTATATTGTCAAGGTAGTAATAAAACTGTATGTTTTGTTCTATTTGAAATCTCTGCCCAAGCCCTTGACCTTCGAGTTGGTGATGTGTGAATTCACAAGTGCATATCCTGGTTATTTAAATAAATACTATTTATAACATGTATTGTCTTTCATCAGACATGCCCGTTGCACAAATTTCTATAAAAGCTCGACAAAATCAATCTTTAAAAAAGTTCGTCCAGTAGAAAAGTTAACATATTCTTACACTGAAAATGTATTTCCAATAGGTACTTATCCTCTCTCACATAAAAACTATTTCAATCTTTTATCTGCCTTCTAAGCATTGCTAATTTCTATAAAAGCTCGACAAAATCAATCTTTAAAAAAAGTTCGTCCAGTAGAAAAGTTAACATATTTTTACACTGAAAATGTATTTCCAATAGGTACTTATCCTCTCTCACATAAAAACTATTTCAATCTTTTATCTGCCTTCTAAGCATTGCTAATAAATTTTTGCACTCAATGCATAAGTCTACATACCCTATTAATTTAATGCCATCTTTGAAGATTTCAATGTGAGGCTACTCTCCACCAATAGTATTGTGACACCTATCTTGTCACGGCTAGCCCTCTGCTATTCCTGCTCAATCCTCATTTTCAACAATGGGCAGGCTTTAAAAGAAGAACACCAGTGTGAGAAAATGTTAACTTCTGATACAGTTTTACCTTCACTCACACAAAGGTAGATTCCTACACTGCAAAGGTGGAGGGACCAGTTTAGGTGCGCAACATTGAAACCAAGCAGAAAGTGACTGTTCAGAATGAACATGTGTGCTTCGAAATGAAAATGAAGCACACTCGTGGGGTACCACACTCCTTCTGGAATTGGTATGCTTTTCGCCCTTGAATATGAAATGAATCTTATACTGGCAGAAAAAAGGATGTGCACAAATGCAATTTGTTCTGAGAGGTGCAATCCACAGTAAAATAAAAACTGAATCAGCTACGTACATCAGAGGACAAAACATCCGGGTTCACATCGCAATTCGTGAATCAAAACAAACCCAGCTGTGAATCACTTTCCTCTTTGTTCAGCATAAGGTGCAAATTATTCCTTTCTCTTGTATGTTGTCTTCGAGACCTCTTAACAACACAGTAAAAGTGCCGTAATGTTTCAGTTTGATATACCAAAGCCAATGTTCATTTCTCAGAGGAGAGGGGTAATTAGTGCTTTAAAGTCACTAAACATTTTCTTCTTCAAAAAGCCAAACAGACCACGTTGTGAAGAGAGTGATGAGGTCTCATACACATGAAAAAAAAAAAGAAATGAAATAAACTATATTAACCTGAAAAATGATTTGTGGCAACCTTATTCAGTTACAATATCTTTAAGTCACTTCTTTCTCTGGTTAATTGATTGCTGTATTATTTTGTGACAGCTGAGGTGTTTGGTATTTCTTGAAATTTTGAAGTTTTACTTTATATACCAGGAACTATTTTGTTCATGAAATGTCATGTATGGTACAATTAAATATTAGGGTTTGAAGCTGAATAAAAGTGTTATTTGAATAAAAACATACCATTTACCTCTTTTTTTTCATTAGTGGATGTCTTTACAAAGAGTTAAAACTTTTAGTGCTGGATTTAGTTGCTATAATGTGTTAAAATAATGACTGTTAAAAAGATGCTAAGCAATACTTGCTAATCAAATCCATCAATACTGTGTCCCCTGATGTACATACAGAACCTCAACTGGACAGACAAGATTCCATAACTCGTCTTTGGCATTAGGAGGTTGAGGATCAAAAAAAGATAAAAACAAATATATTGTAACATAAACATAGTGGCTAGAGCATGTGGACCAAGTTACATATGCTCATCAATCCCAACCATAAGTAAACAGTGTCATATGCCAAGCAACTGAAATTACAAAGAGGAGGTTAGCTTTCAGTCAAAACTGGACAAACTTCCAAAACCACTGTAGGAGCAAGAAGTACAACAAACCAAACCCAGCATTATAAGGTCATGACATTGCCTCATTTTTATCATAAGAACAGGGTATTATCTGTTACTGGTATTAAGAGCAGAAATCATAACTCATTCCACCATAAATGCAGGAAAGAGACATCCTGCATCCAGAATTATGAGGAGGACATGGAACATTCTCTCAACCATAAGAACAGTGTATATAGATCCTGTTGCTAGTATTATGAGGCTTATCCATAGGAGCAGGGAAAAAACCTCCTGCAACTGGAATTAAGGAGAAGAGGGGCCTCTACTGCACATAACTGTAGGAATGGAGCAGTGCCAACCCAAACCTGATATTACAAGGAAGATCCTGCATAGGCTGGACCTGCTCCCACTGCCAGCTGTCCACCAGAGAAAAAGAATCCAGGAGAAATGGAAGGAGGGAAATCAGCTTTACCCTCTTCATACTGAGTGTATAATCATGAGTATGTATGGTAAATTGCTAGATTCACTCAGGTGGAAGCCTCCATGGTCCACCACCCCAGGAACTGGGAAATAGTAAGGATTCCTGTGTTTTACTGGAAGAAAAATGAGGGGAAGTAAATGTGGTGGGGAGTCCCGAGGAACATCGCACCAGAGAATGGGTGTCCGTGATTCTCTATTTTAAAAAGCAGACTGACTCCAATTTATTCCATTAAAGAGTTAGCAGGAAAGAGCAGAAATCCACTTCTGCTTTATTCAGAAAGTCCATGAGTGACAGTCCACCATTAAGTGAAACTTACCAATATCTAGAAACACACACATACAT